AAATGCCGAAATGAAAGGAGCTCGGCCAAACAAATATGAAACTACTAAATATAAATATATAAAACCGCCAGTAGATGGCGGCAAGACACTGTTCTATTGACATTACTGGTTAATGTTCAACCTATTCTTTCAAAAACACAAAGAGGCTATATATTTAATATCCACACAACTACTCCTTTTAGACAATTGCAATTGTTCTGCTGTGGTGCTGTTTGGAACTATTTATTTTATTTTATGAAATGTCATTAACATATTGTTTATTTACAGGCATTCTGGTTTTCTAATGATTCTTTTTTTAAAAGCTAAAGACTGCTCATTACAGAAACATTAAAATAAATATTTACAAATGTGTGTTTTACTTGGTATTTTTCTCATAACAGTAAATCTATGAGGAAAAAGATCTATCAGGAAAAATAGATATCTCCAGACGTATGGCAGACGCACGTAGTCACGTTTGTAAACTTAGATCGTTGCAGACGGGCAGACGTGCAGGCGTGCAGACGTTAAGACGTATATGGCGAGTGGACAGTGCCACAGATAACCTAACAAAGGAGACTGTCGTGTGACAGCTACGTGTGTGGATGTGGATAGGGTACTCCGTCAGTGCACAACGTCGTCGATAAGCCCATCGCCGTCAGCCTTGATTTTTTTTTTTCTCTCTCAAACTTCGACTTCTTCTTCATTTTTATTGTCGGTTGGCAAACTAGCTGAGAGGTGCATTAGCGCCACCAACTGGACTGGAGTGTGTACAGGCCTACATGCTCCAGCCTTGAGCCTTCATTAAAAGTGTTGCTGTAAAATTTAATTTTACATAGAAATTTAAAAGGACGGTAATCTAATGGATATTTATTCGAAGATATTAATGAGCTTAAATTTGTAAGTTATGTCAGCTGAGAAGTTTGTACTATTAAAAAAACACTAGGCTACTTTAGCTTTGTTGATATGATGTCTATGTCCAAAGTTGTAAAAGGCTCTTTTGTAAATCAAACTAAAAAGGAAGTGTGAAAATATTCTAGAAATATGACCACTGTTCAATGAACTCCTTGAGGCAAAACACTTTTACATAGTTTTAACCTCCCCTCTAGAAAGTAACCATCAAATCTTCTCTTTTTCATCTTTCCTATTTGCAGTTTGTATTTTTATGCGTTGTAAGCATAGACTATATGTATTCCTGTATGTTGCATTGTTAATACTGTTATACTAATATAGAGGAAAAAATATGTCCTATTTGTTCTCTTCAGTGGAGTGATTCAATATGTCTTGCTGTTTTGTTATTTCATCACATGATGGCACTGTTGCATTTTTTGTCAATTGCACAATTTAATAATGCATTTTAGGCTGAAAAAGTCGATAATATCTCGTGAGTTAATGTTTGAATATCATAAGATTGCAATTGGCATCTAGGGTGCACATTGTTAAATAATGCACAAGTGGTAATTTATTAAAAATATGACATAACGTCACTTTTGGTGATGGGCCAGCGGGAGATTTCATGCATTTAGACAATCACCATCGAGAGAGGACCACACTTTTTGCAAACAATTTATACAGTTTACAACAAATGAAGAAAAAATGTTGCCACTAGTAGGGCCTACTTCTTGTAGATTTTTATCAGTAAGGTTGTCCAAATTACTTTTTTCGGTGTTCTGTCGATTTATGCTCCCGGGTTCTGCACATGTGCGTGTTCCACAAGCGTTGTCCATTTCCCTGCCCATAAATCTGTGCAACTTTGCTGTTGGTCATGCCGTCAGGACACTGGCTGATCGTCAAAAATCATAATTAGTCTATCAGAATATGCTACCCCTGATAAATTAAATAAAGATGGCATAATATAGTTTATATTTCAACGTGCTCCCCATCTTCAAAAAAAGCATTTTTTCTTTATTGATTTAGGTAACATCAAGAATAATACTACAAATGACAATGGCATTGACAAGGTGTTTTACTTCAAATTTGCAAACAGAATTATAACACTTAATTTTGACACAGGGCTAGTCAGAACTCAGTAACCATTTCTGGTCACACTCAATTCAAACAGTCAGAATGCTGGTGGTGGCTCCACAGCCTCTGTATATTATGTAAAAAATAATTTGAAATGTTACTCTTTTATTGGTTGTGAATAACCAGATATTCAGTGTTACATCAAAGCCTTATCAGAAATAGTATCTATTTTTGGAACACAGACACATGTTTTGTCAAGTGTAAATAGGGTGTGTCCATGAAATGACCAGACCAGCAAAAAATGTAATTGTGAAAAAAAAACATGTTTTCAATTGTTCAGCCAAATGGCAGCTATCACTGTGTCTGTTGGTCTGCTGTGAAATTGTACACACTATTTTTATAGGCTACACTAAAACTACATCACACTCAGTGACAAACCAAACACACTGCCATGCTCACATACACATCAAATGGTTAAAAACACTCATCACAAGGCCTATTCAAAGACAATGGCACCATCTAGTGGATGAAAACTGCAATAGACGTTACAACAGAAACTTCAAAAACTCAATTAATTGTGGGGTTTACTTAATTAAATATTACATTGAGTGTGTTTTTACATTTATTCGTTAATAGACTATAGCTCTAACTTAAACTAAAAACTAGCTAAACAACAAGCTACATGTTTTATTTACATCAATGTTTTCCTCATATTTGTTGCTGCCATAAATGTTTTGTTTTTCAATGGTTAACCATTTTAAAAACACAGCTTGAGAGGCAGTTTAATTGAGTGCTGCAAATTCAAACATGAGAACCAATCAAAAGCACCAGAACAGCAACAAACTTTACTAAACAACTGTGGCTGGAAATGGCAAAGGAAGACAATGTGCACATGAAATACACATAATGCAACAAAAAGAATATTATTCAATATATAGCCAAGCTTATTAAAGAAAATATTCATATGGTATCTTAAACATTTTCATAAGAAATTGTGATTTAATTACATATTTTACCAGTAGGCCTAACTGTAACAGATAACACTTACATTTACAGTATGTTGTAATTAAATTATTTGACTAAATTGCATGTATGTAGTTAGCCTAATCCCCAACACTGCCTGTATGTTTGTCTACAGTTGAACATTAAATGGTGTTCTTCTAGGTATAGAATCATGGGAGCTTTATATTATGAGCATTAAGTGAGTCGGAAATTACGTTTGTATCATTGTATAATAGTATGCTGGTTTCTCTAAGTGTAGAATCCCGATGGAAAATGAAGAACTTCACTGAGGGTCTTAAGATTTTTAATTTGCTGTCTTGTACTTCAAGAACAATGTAATTGCTGAAAAAGTGCAGACATAAAGCAACATATATCTTATAACTCCTTTAGGATTACATTGATTAGTAACGAATTTGCATGATCAAAATAATCCAAATCATTATGCAGAATGAAATATGCATGTAAAATACTTTGTTGCCAATAAAATAACCAAAGGCAAATGCCTATAACAAATAGCCTACAGTTAATAACAGAAATTGAATGAAACAGCTCTAATACTTTATTGATTAATTTTATAAGTAACTGTAGACCTAATACAACCATTTTCACATTGTGGGGAAGTGAAAGCATTATCTTCTGTTGGCACAGTGAATCCAAACAATAAAGCACAACACATGAACTGTGTTATGAACTGTAGGCTACTCCAGAGTTCCCAGTCGCCAGAGGAATAAAAGCATTTATAACAGGCTGTACAAGACATGACTTGAATTCACTCAATAAAGTTAAAATAAAGTTACACTGACAATGGGTACTGGTGGCGACGTACTTAGTGACGACGTGTGTGTCACACGGCTTTGAGGCGACGTACCTAGTTCAGACGTTGTTAGTAGGCGTTATTTTTTACTGGAATTCTAATATACGTCGCCGTGACGTCGCCACCGGAAGACGTTCCTCCTGTGACGTCGCCGCCAAGTCGCCGCTGGTCTCCCGTCGGCAGTCCCAATCAATCCCATTCAAAAATCCACACGTTCTGGCGGCGACGGCAGGGTAGACTTCTCCTTCTCCTTCTCCTGGTAATCCATGAATTGTCACAAAATACTCGCCATATTATTTTTTACTGGAATTCTAATACGTCGCCGTGACGTCGCCACCGGAAGACGTTACTCCTGTGACGTCGCCGCCAAGTCGCCGCTGGTCTCCCGTCGGCAGTCCCAATCAATCCCATTCAAAAATCCACACGTTCTGGCGGCGACGGCAGGGTAGACTTCTCCTTCTCCTTCTCCTGGTAATCCATGAATTGTCACAAAATATCCGCCATAGTAGGGTACGGTTATGACGGATCTGCGTCTCATATTCACGCTAAACGATGCCATGTGTGTTGGATTTAGACGCGCATCACCTGTATGACGCCTTGGGTTCTGCCTGCGTCTCATATTGATGCTAAAGGATGCCATGTGCGTAAGATTTCAACGAAATGTACAAAGCGTCACATGTATGACGCCAAAGGATGAGAACGGGCTGAAAAAAACACGTAAGTTAAAGTTTGCTGCCACATCACAAATGGTGAATCTATTATTTTTTTTCTTTATATTTAAATAACATTTCAGACCTTTTTTTAAAAAAAAAAAATGAATGGATGCTATCTTTTGAACTCTTGGCATGAAATCAAACCATTCTTTTATGATTTTTCATGTTCATCACTATTTCAAAATAAAGGTCTGAACACGCCTTAGAGTATGAAAATATTAGTGTTGCAAATTGATAAATTACGGCTCCTCTGTAATTTATTTTGAAAATCAATCACCAAAAATGAAAACTAGAGATTGTAAGCTTTCAAATGATATATAGTTTGTCAATTAGTTTAGGTTTAGTATAGGATAGGCCTATTACTGTTTTAAATATGTAATGGCTGCAGGTAATAATGTATATTATATAAATGTTTGCCTGAAAAAGAACAATCTTGCCTGCCCTTCGTGAGATGTTACATTATTTATTTCATTTTTTTGTATCAGTTATATTTGCTATTATTATTTTTAATTATAATTTATTTATTTGACAGTCTGTCTATCCCTTTCCAATTTAAGAGCTCTGACTTGTGACAAAATGCCTGGTGTTGCCAATCCAAATCAATGGAGTTTCTCTGAGTTACTGGGACAGAGGAGCATTCTTGGAGTTGTAGTTCTGATTACATGGTTAGTTCTGTTCCATCTTCTTGTGAATGTGTGGCTGCTGTGCATCTTCACCAGTCTGTTGGTAGTGCTGGCTGGATGGCTGGGATCTCGTGTCGCTTTGGATGCCAACAGCCTCCTTCATTTGGAGCACTTCCTGCCCCTGGGTGAGTCCCCTCAAGTTCACACTGCCTCAGAGAGTGAACAAAGACTGGACTGGGAGATTCAAAGTGCTGTTGACAAGGCTGTGCGGGACTTTGTGTCATCCTGGTACTGCAGTTCTGTTTCTAAAGGAGGGGACGAGTTTGAACAAGAGGTGAGGGACACTATGCTGGAGGCAGCCGCTGAACTGAAGAGGAGAGCGAGGCAGGTGGACCGGAGAGCTCTCGCCCTGAGGGTTCTTGAGCTTTGCGGACGCCATCTGCAGAGCTTCAGCCAAGCCAGGGAACTTCAACGAACACTGCAAGAAGAGTTCGACCAATCACTTTCAAACTCACAAAAACTATGGAGGTTGTACAGTAGAGCTGATTTGCCTCACCCTGCCCTGACTGGACCAGCTAACCAGCTCTGCTACTCCAGAGCGCTGGTAGATTTCCTCATGCACGTCCTTATTCCCAAATCTCACTTGGAAACACGAACAGGCTGCTACATGGTGGGAGAGCTCATCACATGCAATGTTCTTTTGCCCCTTGTGGCAAGAATATCCAGTCCAGATTGGTTAAACCAGACCATCGTAGATGTGTTCACTCAGTCCACCGACAAAGAAGAAACAAGTCCACAGCAAACACCTCCAGCAGACCTGGACGATTCCCAAAGAAGCTTCTGGGATTATGACTCCCCGGTTACTTTCGACTGTCCTGAAACCTCCAGCATGCAGACAGCTTGGTCTGTATCCACAGCCCCCCTCCGTGATTCCTCTGAAACAAGTTTCCAGAGTCAGTGGTCCTCTGATGAAAATGTACATAGGAGAAGAAGTTCTGGCTTACTTTTTCCAGAAAGAATGGTCCAAAATACAGCTGAACTTCTTAGATCTCCATACCGCACTAGCCGCCTCTATAGACACACAGACTGTGACCTGGAATCACCCTCTTCGGATGAGAGGAAGATATCTAGTGAGTCTTTGAAACGAACAGACTCCGATGCTGAGGATTTCTGTGACTGCATCTCTCCTTCAGACTTTTGTGGGCTAGTTTGTCTGGAGGAAGACACATTGGGTATTTTGGGGAAGTGTTTCAGGCAAAACATTGTTTCAGAGCCTCCTTCATCACTGGAGAGTTTAGTGGAAGATTCTCTGGTCCGACCACTGACTAACACATCAAACTCCATCCCCAGAAGCCTTGGCCTGGACTCATTCGTTTTTGAAAACCTGGGGAATCTAGAGGGACCGGTATCTATTCAGAACTTGCAAATTGTTGGGACCATCACAGCCAAAGAGCAAAGAAGCAACAGCACTCATCCTTATACTCTTTACACTGTAAAGGTGAGATTCTCATACATGCATGAAACATGTCATGTTAAATACAGACTTTTTTTGTTGTTGTTAAATTTGGTTTGGAATCCGTTGGAATTATGGATTTCATGAAAAGCAATGTTTTTAGGCTGCTTTACCCTTTTTACTAATTCAGTATTGATTCATTGTGTCTTGTGTTTGTAGTTTGAAACTGCTTCAGATTCAAATAGCTCTGATCAGCCTGTCACATATCATATGGTGAACCGGCGCTACACTGAGTTCCTCAATCTGCAGAGCCGTTTGGAGGAAAGGCCAGATCTCAAGAAAGTGATCAAAAGTAAGACATTTTAAATGTATTCGATTCGCATATTAAAAATTAACATAAATACATTTAAATACAATACACTTTATAGTCCTAGATCTAATTAGTACATATTGTCAGAGTTGCATAGTAAAAAGTAATATACATAATAAATAATATTCTGTTCAAAAGTTTGGGGTCAGTAAGATATAAACAGAAATGAATACTTTTATTTAGCAAGGATGCATTACATTGATCAAAAGTGACAGTGAAGACCTTTACATTGTTAAAACAATCTATTTCAAATGCTTTAAAAATAAATAAATAAATAACTTTCTATTCATTAAATAATCCTGAAAAAATGTTTCCACAAATATTAAGCAGCACAACTGCAGTCAACATTGTTGCATTGTGTGGTAGGGTTTAATGTGGGTGGAAGGAAGAAGACAGGGTCGGCATGACTGGGACTCGTACTTTTTATTAACTCAAAATATAAAAGAAAACAAAGGCTGCGCCACATGCGCATTCACCGTATCCTCGGCTAAAGCAATGTTCATAGAACACTCTTCCCGCTGAATCAGCTCACAATTCACTTAGATGAACACTTTCCGCTGTACCAGCTCTCAGTTCACGACGCACAAACACTCTTCCCGCTGTATCAGCTCTCAGTTCACGACGCACAAACACTCTTCCCGCTGTATCAGCTCTCAGTTCACGCATTGTGTACGAGTTCCGAGTCTCTCTCTCTCCCGCTCTCTCGTTCCCGCCAGCTTATATGCGGTCTCTCCACACCAGTTACTGGAATCAGACACAGGTGTTCATCATCTGCACTTGACCTACTTACTCACCGCACGGCTCCCTCCTTTCTCTCCCGCTACAGACTTCGCAAAACCACGCCCCCCTCGCCACATACCCCCACCGCCCGACTCAGGCCCCGTCCACACTACTGCGTTTTCGTTTAAAAACGGAGACCTTTTGCTACGTTTGCACCTCCCGTCCACACTAAAACGGAAAAAACGGAGACCCAAAACGGAGAAGTTTAGAAACGCTGCCGACCCGTTTTTCGTTTTGATTCTCCGGAGGGCGTTTTAGTGTAGACGGGTCAAAACGGAGGACTTTAGAAACGATGACGTAGTAGAGGCTCACGCTCGGCTCTATGATTGGGTGTCATCAGTCATGGCGTAGCCTATATCTTTGCTAGCAGCTGTTGTACAAGTAAATTCTGCATTTTACAACGCTATAACTGCCTACATGCGCCGGAGTGAAGCTATTATTCGAGCGATCTGTGACAATTCCCCGTGTGCAGCGGCGGCGTTGACCGTACGGAGCGTCGGTTTGTGGTTAACCCAGAGCATGGTGGGATAATTTTATCAATGAAGTTGTGTTTACACCGGCACGCGCATGCCCAGTGTTGGTGAATGGTCACGTGATCCGCGTTTTCAGTCGTTTTAATGTGGACGGAGATCAATTCTAATACGCAGCTAAAACGCTGGTGTGGACGGAGATCGTATTCGTTTTAATTCTCCGTTTCTAAACTAAAACGCAGTAGTGTGGATGGGGCCTCAGGCCAGGGAGCCATCCGGCCTGCAGCCCCCCCCGCCCCCCCCCCCCCCCCCCCCCCTCCTGGAGATGAAGTCGGCCACAGCCATCTGTGCACCCGGCCTGTGGATCACCTGGAACTTAAAAGGCTGTAAAGCTAGATACCAACGGGTGATCCTTCATGCGGTGGAGCCACTGCAGGGAAGCGTGGTCCGAACAGAAGGTGAACTCCCGTCCCAAGAGATAATAGCGGAGGGTGAGAATGGCCCATCTGATGGCCAGACACTCCTTATCTATGCTGCTGTACGTAAGAGAGCTTACGTACTCTCTTAGAGAGCTTACGACTGATGGAACAGCACCGGCCATTCTTCACCCTCTACCTCCTGGGACAGGACCGTGCCCAGCCCTCTGTCCGACGCGTCTGTCTGTAGAATAAAAGGGAGAGAGAAGTTAGGAGCATGTAAAAGCGGGCCGCCACACAGAGCAGCCTTTATCTGGGTGAAAGCCTGCTGGCACTGCTCCGTCCACTGGACCGTATCTGGTGCTTCCTTTTTAGTTAGATCAGTCATATAGATGATGATATCATCCAAGTAGGTATAGCGGCATATGCAGCATGTGGCCGGAGAATTCTGTCCATAAGAATTGTCTGTCCATAAGGTTGGTGGCGATGGCGCACGGTTGGTTGGGCTCCGTGCTCCTCTTGCTTTGGCCTTTAAAATCTGGCTATTTTATGCACTCTGATAGACTTTCTACTGACACCAAGATTTATAAACAGCAAATACGTGAATATGTCAATAAACCAGAAGCCGTAAATAAGAAGGATAAACAACATCAACTAATGAAATACCGGCGTGGAGCAAACAAGCAGCGTCAGCGTTCAGACCTGCTATTCACCTGTTTGGTGTGGCTTCTTCTGCTGCTAATATTTGGATCACTTGTCCTAAGGATTCCTCAAAACGAGCCTGACAGTCTTCTGTGCAACACGCCATACCTGAACAACGTTGGATATGGCCGTTTTACCATCTACTATTCCCTCCTGAAGTTTGGAAATGCACGCGTAATAGGCTTACGCACCAAAGTGGAGCTGGGTAACAGGAAAAAAAATAGTGGGCGCGCTATAATATATCTCTCCTTCCTGGTCCTGTTAGCGGGAGACATCCAGCTTAACCCCGGCCCAGACGCTGACTGTGCGCCGCGGGTCCATACTGCCAACGTGGGGCCGGGTCCCGGTGCGGAGATGGAGCGGGGAGCGGCAGGCTGGATTGGTGGGCGGCCGGGAGCCTCCTCGGCGGAACTAGTGCGTCATCTGCGGGGGCCGGCGGACCCGGAGGGGGTTGGCGGATTTCCAGCGGGAGACAGCTCTGGGCGCTCTGTGCGGGCGAGTGTTCGAACGCCGGCACCGGAGGACCCGGAGGGAGTGGATCCGTCTGTCCACGTCGACCGGGCTGCGGCGGGGGTTGCGCCCACAGATGGCCCGGCGGACTGTTGGAGCGACCTGGTCCAAAGTGGTGCCCTACTTTTGGCGGATTCTTCTGTCGACAAGGCGGAGGAGGCCACACTGGAGACGGATTTAAAATCATTGTGTGCGCAAGGATCCAGAGGCGCTCCTAACCGTAAGACTGACTATACTAAGGGTAAAGTCAATACAACTCATAAAGTCAAGCATAAGCGAACAAACAGAGACACTACTGATAATATAAAAACTTTGCAGTCACAAGCAATAATAAAGCAGAGACAATATTTATTTTTCCAGACAGTAAATCACGCGAAAATAATCTGGGATCGCACAGTAAAGCCCAAGGGTATTTTGGGAGGGCATTTAAATATTAGAAGCCTGTATCCAAAATGTGATGAAATTAGAATTCTTTTAATTGGTTCCAATCTTGATTATTTATGCATAGGTGAAACATGGATGCATGATAAAATCCCCACCTCAATGATAGATGTGCCTGGATATAAGTGCTATAGAAAGGACAGGGTTACTGGTAGAGGAGGTGGAGTTCTGGTTTATATTAAAGACTCCTTTAAGACTAAAGAAGTCCAATTAGATGAATCTCTATCAATTGAAAGTCTATGTGTAAATGTGGCTCTATCCTCACGCATGATGTTTAACATCCTTGTGGTGTATAATCCACCATCTAGTTGCCTACAAACTTTTTATCAAAATCTAGAAAAAATTCTCAAATCTTTTAAACCGAACAGTGAGGTGCTTATTTATGGAGATATTAATGTTAATTGGTTAAATAAATCCAGTAGGAAACAACTCAAAGAACTAGCATCAAAATATGACTTTCATCAATTTGTAAAGGGACCCACTCGCCTGACAAAAACATCACAGACAGCAATAGATTTAGCTTTCTCAAATAAGCCGGAAAGAGTTTTAAAAACATACAATCTGGTGTGTGGCTTATCAGATCATAACATGATATTAATTTCCAGAAAACTCTCAAAAAAGCGTCTAAATGAATGTAAAAATCACCAAAAGGTAACTAAGTTAATAATTCCCCGTAAGGATCTTATTAAAGTTGAGAATGAGTTAGCAAACACTAATTGGGATGAAGTCTCACAACATAATCAAGTGAACGAGTGTTGCGATATATTTACTTCCACAATGAGTAACATTTTAAATAAGTTCTTAAAACAATGTAAAAGGCCACAAAGAAAAGTGCAGCTTCCATGGGTAAGTGATGCAGTACGACAGTTAATTAAAAAAAGAGATTTTGCTCTAAAAACCTATCTTAGAACCAGATATGACACAGATCTGATGTTATTTAAAGGTTTACGAAATCAAGTAGTAAAAGAATTGCGAAACTTAAAAGCAAACTATTATATGAAAATTCTAACTGAAGCTAAAGGAAATTGTAAAGCAATATGGAAACAAATAAACAGCCTAATTAAACCTAATGCAAATATAAATAATTCATATGAACTAAAATGTGAAGGAAAAAACATATCAGACCCTGTCCAAGTTGCTAATGCCTTTAATCAATTTTTCATCAAATCTGTTGAAGATCTTGCTTCTAATTTTTTAGATGAGGAGCCCAATAGTAGCAACTTAAATATATTGTCATCAGCAAATGAGAATTCTTTTAAAATTAGAGAAGTGGATCAGGCAGTGGTATTGAAAGCCATTTCAGACCTGAATACCAACTTTTCCAAAGACAACTACAACATAGACGCAACTTTCCTCAAACAATATGCTCAAATTATCATTCAACCTTTGACCCACATTATAAATGTCTCTATTAAAACGGGGATATTTCCAGATGCTTGGAAAAAGGCACTGGTTAAACCCATCTTTAAGTCCGGGAATACCACAGACGTTAGTAACTATCGACCAATAAGTCTAGTTCCGGTAATGTCAAAAATACTAGAAAAAATAGTTTCAGAACAGCTAACTCAATACTTAGAAACACAGAAATATATACACCCTCAACAGTATGGTTTCAGACAGAACCATTCCACTGAATCAGCTATCTGCGCTTTATTGGAAAATA